CACACTGATGTTTGGGGTCCTGCTCCTATTTTGTCATTCAATGATTATCGCTACTTTGTGCTTTTTATTGATGACTTTTCTTTATTCACATGGATTTATCCCATTAAGTATAAAAGTGATGTTGTCCATGTTTTCAAGCAATTCAAAGCTCTCGTAGAAAACCAATTTGGCACTACCATTAAAAGTGTTAACTCTGATTGGAGTGGTGAATTTCGTTCTCTCAATTCTTTCTTTAAGGATGTCGGTATTGTTCATCGTTTAGCGTGCCCACACACTCATGAGCAGAATGGCACTGCTGAATGCAAAATTCGTCACATTGTCGACATTGGACTTGCTCTCCTTGGCCATTCCAGTACCCCTTTTCGGTTTTGGGATTTTGCTTTTGAAACTGCTGTGTTTTTGATTAATCGCCACCCTAATAAACCTCTTCAAGGTCACCTACCCTTTACTACTCTATATCATCAGCCACCTGATTATACCTTTCTTCGTGTCTTTGGTTGCGCTGTCTATCCTCTTCTTCGCCCTTATAATAAACATAAATTCTCTTTTCGTTCTACTCAGTGTGTCTTTCTTGGGTATTCTCCATCTCATCTTGGTTATCGCTGTTTTGATTGGTGAATAACCGTCTTTATGTTGCTCGTCACGTTGAGTTTGATGAGAAACTCTTTCCCTTTAAACTTCCTATTTCTAGTTCTCCTTCTTCGCTGCTAGAGTCTCCTGCTACCCCTTGGTTACGTGTAACCAGTTCTCCTGGTATGCTTGCGTCGTCTTCTGCGTCTTCTTCGTCTCCTCCTATCCCTCCCGCCTCTTCCCCTTTAGCTAGATCTCCTGCATCCAGCTCTTCCTCATCTGATTGCACTCCTCCGCCGCCGCCTCCTCCTCCTTCTTCCCGTCAGCACTCAATGACACTTCGTCCACAACCCAAGCCCAAGAAAATCTTTGATCCCTCGGCTCATCTTACCTCTGTTTCCCCAGCCTTGTCTACTGCTCCTACACCCTTCACCCAAGCCAAATCTCTTCCTCAGTGGCAGAATGCCATGAAGGATGAAATTTCCGCCCTCCTCAAAAATAACACATGGACTTTAGTTCCCCCTCCTTCCTCCGGCAATGTTGTCGGCAATCGATGGCTCAATAAGATTAAAACTCATGCTGATGGCTCCATTGAGCGGTATAAGGCTCGGTTGGTGGCTCGAGATTTTACTCAGTCTTTTGGGGTTGATTACACCGACACATTTAGTCCGGTTGTTAAGCCGGTCACCATTCGTTCGTTTTGATTGTTGCCCGGCTCGTGGATGGTCGATTTCTCGGCTTGATGTCGGTAATGCCTTTTTAATGGTGTTCTAAGTGAGACCGTGTATATGGTTCAGCCACGGGAGTTTGTTGATCCGGTGCGCCCTCATTATGTGTGTAAAGCGCATAAGTCCTTATATGGTCTTAAGCAAGCTCCTCGGGCACAGTATTCTCGGTGCAGCATTTCTACTTACCTTGGGTTTTGTAGAGTCTCGTTGTGATCCGTCTCTTTTTGTCTATCGCCGTGGGTCTCAGTTGTGTTTTTTGCTGGTCTATGTGGATGACGTTATTATTACAGGCAGCACTTCTGGTTTGGTCCAGCATTTTATCTCTTGTCTTGCTAAGGAGTTTTCTCTTCGGGATTTAGGTCCTTTGAGTTACTTTCTTGGGGTTGAAGTTTGTCGTACTTCCAAGGGTTTGCTTCTCTCTCAGCGCAAGTATGTCACTGATTTGCTACGGCTTGCAAATATGCATACTTGCAAACCTGTTTCCACTCCTTTGCAGGCTAATGTTGTGTTGTCTCGTTTGGATGGTACTCTGTTGTCTCCTGATGATGCGACTACTTATCGTCGGCTGTGTGGCAGTCTGCAGTATACCACTCTTACTCATCCGGATATCTCCTTTGCGGTTAATAAGCTTTGTCAGTTCATGCATCAGCCTCGCACTTCTCATTTTCAGGCTTTCAAACGGGTTCTTCGCTATCTTCGTGGTACCGTTGATTACTGTTTAGTTCTGCATCCTACAGATTTGGGTACTCTTACTGCGTTTAGTGATGCTGACTGGGCTGGTTGTCCGGATGATCGTCGTTCTACTACTGGTTTTCTCATTTATTTGGGACCTAATCTCATTGCCTGGGCGTCTAGGAAGCAGCCCACTGTGGCTCGCTCGTCTACTGAGGCTGAGTTTCGTGCGGTTGCTAATGTCTGTGTTGAACTGCATTGGGTGTGTCATCTGTTGTCCGAGTTAGGCGTTTCTTTAAATCGCCCTCCCTCTATTTGGTGTGACAACAGTAGTGCAGTTTTCCTTGCTGTCAATCCTGTGTTCCATGCTCGTACAAGACATGTTGAGGTTGATTTTCACTTTGTTCGAGATCATGTTTAGCGTAAGTTTGTTTCGGTCAATTCTATCTCTGCTACTGATCAGCTTGCTAATATTCTGACAAAACCCTTGTCCAAAGAGTTATTCTTTCGATTTCGGGACAAACTTCGGCTTCTCTCTTCTCCGCCGTAAGTTTGCGGGGGCGTATTGTAATATTTAGTATATTTCCTATTATGTCCTAGATTAGGGTTTGTTATTGTCTATATATAGTCTGTATATTGTGCACAATATTATTATGAATCAAATACAGTTTCCCTATTCTAAGTGCAAGAATTCTAAAAGCTAAATATTTCCCAAACACTTCTATTTTAGATGCTCTTTTAGGTTCCAGGTCATCTTATACTTGGAGAAGCATATTGGAGGGACGTGATGCTCTTTTGTTGGGTAGTCGCAAACAAGTTTTTTCAGGAGATCAGACACGAATATGGATGGATAGATGGCTTCCTTGCAGTGCTGATTTTCAAGTCCACAGGCCCCCAACATTCTTGTCTCCCTCTTCAACAGTATCATGCTTAATCAATGAGGAAACGGGCTCATGGAGACAGGAGCTGATCAAAAGAATTTTCCTGCCCGATGAAGCTGAATGTATTCTCTCCTTACCTCTAGGTGATTGTACACGACATGACAGGTGGATTTGGCATCACTCCAAAAATGGAAGATTTAGCGTCAAATCGGTGTATCACACATTAATGCGATCACATATGCAGCAAGGCGATCTCCATCCGGCTTTTGAGCTTTCTTTTGAAGACACATCATTCTGGAAAAAAACTTTGGAGTCTTCGATTACCTAACAGAATTCTTATGGAGGTATGTGACGAATTCTCTGCCATCTATGGAAAATCTAAAGAAAAGAGGTTGCTTTCCAAATCCTTTTGTCCTCTATGCTCCACTGGTATAGGAAATACTACACATACCTTTTTCTGGTGTGAGCTCGCAGCAAAAGTTGGGACTGCTGCGGGAATCCGGCAATGCATCTTCTTGTTGCAACAACCTAGATGGGATTTGTGGGTGCGAAATGTGATTGTTAAAGTGGATAAGGCGGTCGCTGAATATTTTGGAGTGCTTTGTTCTTCATTATGGTTTGCTAGAAACAACACCTTGTTTGGAGATGACCATTTCATCGCACATACCCTAGCTGCAAGCGCAAGACAACAGCTTCGAGAATTTCAGGCTTCTACTGGCAATCAGTCTGTTTGTTCTCCAGCCCTTAGATCATGTCATCTTTTGGCTCCAAAGCAATTGAAGACTTGTATATTCTTTGATGGTGCAGTTTCAAAAACCAAGAATTGTGTTGGCCTTGGGGTATACGTGAACAATGAAAACGGGGGATTTCATTTGGCAAAAGGTCGAAGAATTTCAGGAGCTCAATCTGCGGAGTTAGCTGAGTTTTTAGCACTCAAGGAAGCCCTTCTTGTTTTAAAGTCTCATAATCTACAAAATGCTATTATCCTTGGCGATTCTTCGGTTGGAATCCTTGCATCCGTTGGCGAGGCGGGTTGCTCCTCACTCTGCCTACCTATATTATTGGAGATTAGAGTTTTATTAGCAGAGTTACACTTCTCGGATTTATACTGGATCCCTCGTTTGAAAAACGGCTTCGCCCATGTAATAGCTAGTCATTCGAAGTCTCAAAGTTGGGAAGTTCGAACTTGGTTTTCTATACTAAGCTTCATGTATCAATCAGAGCTGGCTGAATTCTAGCAAGTTTAATGAATTAGTATCTTTCTTCAAAAAAATAAAAAATAAAAATAAATTGGAGGTTAAGGAATAAATAATTCTAATCGGATTATCCTATATTAATAGTAAGTACAGATAACTTCAGCCTTATAACTATGTGAATGATCAAATCAGTTATATATAGTGTAAACAACTCAAATCAATATGATCCATGAAATCTACTTCCTTCATCAGTCTCAATGGTCTTCGCTGGCGCCTTGATCATTCTCATTAGTTCATTAATAGTATTGATTGATGAATGTACGGATTCTTTTGCTGAATGACGGGAGATTATAGTATAATCTCTCTATTTTGATTGTCCAGTTTGAAATTTTTTTTTTTATTGAAATTGTACTAAAGGTAAAAATCTAAACTAGACTACATAAAAAAATTAAAAAAGTCTAAATTAGACAATCATTTAATAACAGAATACATATATATATATATTTCATTATATGTTAATTTCCAACATGACGACACGATTTATAAAGACACCATGACACTACACTACACGGATAACCCGATTTGAGCTTTTATCACATTTTTGTTCTAAAAACGTTATTAATCATATGAGATACATAACACGAAATTGCCCCAATAACTCGAATAGAGCCCCAATAACTCGAATAGATACAGCATGACATATCTAGCATGCTCTTTCCATCGCATATCATGTAGACACCAAAAATGGAGTTGTTGCTAAATCCTTGATCCTGGAAAAAGATTCACTGGATACATATATATAGTTTCCATTTATATTGTCATCCACAATATGAATTTTGGGTCACATGCATATATGTAAATAGAAAAAACTTTGAACCATAGATTGAACTAATGTAGTATGTTTACCCTCCTACTGAAGGTGTTGGCAGCAGAAAACGCCAAGGTTCAAATCCTCACTTCCAACCTAGTTCAATCCAAGCACAATCCAAGAACATGCTGGTTTGATTAAAACTCTTCAGCTCGTGTTGAGACCCAACGGAATAATACTTCTTGGTCTTCAAAGAATAGTACACCAATTCATCTTTGTAGAATTTGGGAAAATAGATTCGGTTTCCCATATCTGCTCTTCCTGCGAGAAAAGATACGGATGATTGCCAGCTTAGATATAAGGAAAAGCCGTCCAATGTCTGAATTTCTTCCCATTTCTTATAATCCCTCGTCAGCTTTAAAACTTGGACCCATGGTATTTTTCTTTTGCCATGATCATCACCCATAAGTACAGCTATAAGTTCTCCACCACACTCGATTAAGTAGTTCCGTTTAAACCTTCTTATTATGTCAGGAAATTGGAGGTCCTCAAAAACTTCCCAGTGAATAGAGGTTTCTTCACCTTTGGTCAATTGGCAGCGCCCAAGTATTCCATTAGTCCCCAAATAGTAACAAAATCCTCCCAAGAAAGCTGGACTATTGTAACTGTGATTTAGAAACCGTCCATCGCCTCCTTCTCCCACCACATATGCCCACCATTCTGGTTCTCCAGGCTCCGGCGAAACACCTTTGACAAAGTATGATTCGTTGGTGATACTGAAAGTGGACATTGTCAGGATCGAACAGCTGGGAGAAGACGGGTGGTTTATGAAGGTAAAGTTCGAGAAAGGATCGTTTGTTTCGGGTCTTAGTCCTGCATAGATTACTTGCCTCGTCAGTGGATTGAAGATGGTGCATTCTGATTTTGAATTTGTCCAGTGTTCCATGAGCAGCCAACCATCTTTAGAACAACGAATCTCATAGTTTTCTAGTTCCTTTGGAATCTTGACGGAAAGTTTTATATCGCGAGCGAAATCCACTATATTGTAGACACCATTAACCTCGTCCTTGTATACTAAGGATGGTGGGAAAGGTTTGGTCCTCATCCCAATAACAACGCCGGTGGCACAAAGTTTATTGACACGACGAAAATGCATGTAATCAACAAAGGATAAATTCTGGGCAATCAAATCAAGTACCTCCGGCGGAAGGTCACACAATGAGGATCCAATGTCCGAAACCATCAACTTCTGCTTCTCATAACTTGTGTTTCCCGGGAATATTTCTGTGGCACTTTTTCTTTTTTGATCTTTTGAGGCATCCTGAGTACCACTAATAAGTACACTGTGGCAATGTTGATACTGAATATGCTTATCAATCTCGTCAACACTTAGGGAAGGCATAATCCAACGAGAAATCCATGGTTCCGGAGAATTCTTCGTACGAGGACAGAGTGAATAGGATGTCATTCTCTTATCCTCCATCCTGTAAGAGAACAAGGTTTGATCGTGGTCAAAGGCGAAATGTATGTAACTCCATTCTTTGTTTGAACCAAATTCATCATCATCCGCCGCCGGAGGGCTGTGAAGCGAGTAGGAATCGCACCTAAAAATTGACCCTCCATTCAAACTTGTCATTGGTTCCCAAGAGTTTGTACAAAAACTAAATCTGAAAACTGTTATAGATATTGCTTCATGGTATGTATCAAAAATCATGGGGAACATTACGACTCGACAAAGGTCGCGATCCCCCAACGTCACCAAGAAGTATGTACAGAAGAGTGAGGTTGTTCTGTCTTCTCGCAATAACACACGAGTCTCGCAATTATTGTCTTTATCGATGTTGATTTGCACCAAATCCGCGGGAGAAGAAGCCAAGGCATATATTGTGCCATTAAAACTGACAGGGCTCTCGAGGTAATACCAATGTGGAAGTGGCGTACCCGTTTGAGCTTCAATGCTTGGAGCGTAATTGAATTCGGACCATTTTTCGTCTCCAACACGACAATATAAGATCAAAGGAGTTCGAGCAACAAACAAAAGTACCAAACAGGTGGAGTTGGTGAGTGACAACATTCCATGACGAATTGTCGAAATAAGATCTGGTCTCAGAGGAGGCAACCAAATTGTGGAGTTTGGACTCCACACCAAGAAGCGGTTCAGGGACTGATGAAGCAGAAGTAACCAATTCCCGTCCGGGGAACTATAGTAGATTGTACGTTGATGAAATTCACGAATAGTCTTGAAGATTACTCCTGGAGATGAAATCTTACAAAAGGTTTGACGATCTCGAATTTCCCCGTGAAAATACACTAACCATGGATGGCGATGATAGTTTCCAGGTGACGATGGGATTAGTTCTGAAAGGGGCCTGCTGTGTTCAACATCCATCGAAACCTGAATGTGGTGATTTCTCTTACCGACGTGCATGCCCTGTGTATGTATATGTTAACGTGTTTGCCAGACATCGAATACAATTGGGATTTGGGTTTTGAACCGAAAAAAACTCTAACCAATTATCAAATCCATACACTAGGAATTATGTCAATAGCGAGGCGATGGTTTCAACGTAATATAATTATAGATTTATAGTACGTATCTTATTTTGGGACGTAAAGTTCCTCTTATTATAATTATAACCATGTGGGGTCCGAAGATATAGTATGACAAAACATACTTTTGTCTCATGGCTTTTGTTGTATGGAAAAAATTTACGGACTAAAAGAAAGATTGAAGCTTGATTGCATTTTGGTCACATGTTGATATAATGGTAATCTTTTCTATCCCCTTCTCGTTCTTACATCAAGTAAAAGTTTGTGTTGTATTTTGTTACGCGCATGCGTAACATTTGAGTTTTCTCATTTGTTATTATTTTTGTTTAGTTTACTTTGCCACTTTTCTGAAGCAATTATTTTGGCTTCTTCTATTTATTTACTAGGTGTTAGACCCATCCGATGGATGGGGAAAACCACACGCATATAGACATTACAACATAAGAAAAGCAAAAGAAATATTAATATTTTTATGGATTTTGTATTTTTATAAAATGTCACTATGAAATGGATAATGATTTCATTAGAAAATATAAAACACAAACATCAATAATACTTTATTAAATGAATACGGTGATAATTTATTTAACGGAAAGAATTGTTAAAAAAAAATTTAAAAAAAGAGAGAGAAAATGAAAAACAAAAAAGAATCAGTTTCGAATTGAATGATTGTATATCTTGCAATACTTATTTGTAAACTACATTCATAGTCTTGGATTTAATATTATCATTTTCATCACTTATTAGGAGCCTTATTTCTTGTCTCGAAATAACTCTTGATAAACCGATATATAATTAGCCGTGGCTAAAAACTGAATGCGGGAATAAAAATATCAAAAAAGTTAAATGATAATTAAAAAATAGGAAAAACAAAATGTTCTATTACCTTACAAACATGTACAAAAACAAATAATGTTAAGTATAAACGTAGTGCTCTATTTCTCCCCCAAAAAAACATTAAATATATTATTGAGCAAAATCTCATATTTTAATGTGTATTATGCTTTAGGGACATAGAGAATATGACTTTAAGATCAAAATAGAAAATTAGAGGAATAATAATGCAAATTATGTTACTGAATATGAAACAGGTTTTAATCTTCTGGTCAACTATTTCATCCATTGAGGTTGCTTTGTCTAACTCGTTGATGTACTTAATTATCCAAGGACATTGAGTGGTCTTAAATCTTGCGACCAACTATCTCACCAGTTCAAATGCCTTAGTCCTACTGGTTAAGGTTATCCATCCATTGAAAATGTCTTAGTCCTATCCATTCGACTATATTAATAGTTGTCCTACCCCTTAATAGTCTCAGTCTCCGTTGAAATAGTTTAAAATCTTTTGTCCAAGGTCTTAACTGTGGAGATGGCTTAGTCCTATATGTTAAGGTGTAGTTGATCTCTATTAGAGCAATTTCAAATCATTTAACCAAGAATTCCATCTCAACTGTCTACAACATTTGATCGGTTGTTTCACCCATTAAAATGTCTTAGTCCTATCACTTTTAGGTGTCTTAATCTCCATTAATACAATTTTAATCTTTTTGATCAATGGATCCATTTCAAGTAGCTAAACACATTCTGTATTCTCCCTTGATAAATATAATTGTAATTCATCATCAACAATATCCCCCCAAAAAAAATAAAATACTTGCTTACCTTTCAAATCTATGAAAAAAATGTAACAGCTAAATTAAATGAGCTACTTTCCAGCAAGTTAAACAACAAAGCTAAATACATCAGAATGTACCACGTTTTAAGTTGACTTTTGTTAAACTCTCTCCATGTTCCTATTATGTATTCATGTTCAATTGTATATCAAATACAATTGAACTATATCCACGTTCATTTAATCTCTTTTAGATCATTTAAATGATTCTCAATTTCGTTGTTGAATTTTTATTCAAAAAACTTATCATTAATTAATTTATTTGTTTGTTTCAATTTTGTTATTATTATTATTATTATTATTATTATTATTATTATTTATTTATTTTTGTTGCGTTTTGTCATTTATTTTGCTCTAACTACACTCGTTTTTAGAGATGTTTCATTCCAAAGGAAAGGGGTAAGAGTACTTGTTTTGTTTTCTATTTTTTTTTTTTAAAAAAAAGATTTCAGTTCTAAGTACTTGTTTTTCCCTTATGTATCATTCAACCTTTTTGTGTCCATTCAAACTCTCGTTACTACACTAATTTCTACCAGTCTTAATTAATAAAAAAGGGTTGTATTCTCAACTCGTCATACTGTATTTAGCTTCTTTACTCATCTACTCATCTAATTTTTAGTGTTGTATTCGTATTTTCTATTGAATCATTCCATTTGCTTCAATTAAATCTTTTTGAAACATTTTAATTTGAAATGTAATGGTAGAATGATTTTTTCTTCCTTAATAGTATTGTTGAACTTATATATATATATATATATATATATATATTTTCTTTATTTAGTTTCTCTTAGGTCATTATTAATAATATCTCACAGTTATATTGTAATGGGATAATAATTTTTCTCTTCATTCACTTGTTTTTGCTTCTAATTAATGATATCAATTCACATGTGGATTGTCATTTTTTTTTTCTAAATATTGGCCTACACTTTTTTTATTTGTGAATTCCAGAAAGTGGAAACAAATTAGTTGGGATGCTTTTATTAAAACTTAAGAAAATGGGTGACTGCCCATTTTAAACAAAGTGTACGTTGATTATTATTAAAAGTATCAGCCTAATTGCAAAATGTCACAACCCAGTAAGCATTAGGCAGACAAAGAAAACAAAGTATTCAACATTGATTAGTCTATCAAGTTATATTTAATTAATTTATGAAATTATCATACTCACCATTTTATCATAGGAAAAGATCTGAATAAAAAGTAAAACCTTGTCGCTGAAATTGTAACATAAACGAATCAAAACTATAATGTATAAATCAAAGTTTCCTCAAAAAAGTTTTCATAAATGGTCCTTCAACTAAAAACAAATTTACATAAAACTGTCGCAACCAAGTCTCGGTCGATTGTTTCTCTATTTTGATAGGATCATCTTCAAATTGTCACAACCTAGTTTACATAAAATTGTAGTATATCATCAGATAGTTCTCTTTTAGCCTCATCTTCAAGTTTACAAAAGCGCATCGTATTCTCATGCAGCTCCCAGGCCAGCTTTATAGTAATTTGAAAGCTAACATCAATTTTCACCCTTATCTCCTGAGTCCAACATCCAATTTTGATTCTGCAGTTTGATATTCCTATAAACCCATAAAAATGCAGGCTCAACATTCTTAGAATTGATTAGAGCCAAACTTCTTGAAGCGGTGGCAAAAGAATAGAAAATAAGAATTAAATATACTTTAGAAGTCCATTGCCGAGAAAAGTTTCTTGACGTCGTTCGTGCATTTACAAAGGCATCTAAGCCTTTTATTTAATCTCAAACCGATAATCTACAAAAGAGAATAAATTCACTTTTGGTTATGTTTTTAAGTATTTTTTCAATTGAAAATATAAAAAGTTATGTTGGGATGGGACAGTTGTTAATATTTAATTATAAAAAAAACGGAGTAAAAATGGAAACGAACAGAGCCTCAGTATACTTCAATTCAAACCAAATCTTCTGATTTAGCTTTAGCTAGTGTGCAAGAAATTATTATTTAGTAAAAACCCTAAAAAAGAACATTCTCTTCCACGAGTTGAAAATAAGCAGACTCGACACGCTGAAAAATACTACAAAAAGATCAAAAGTTGAGAATTCATGCTGTGAGAAATTATTCCAGACCTCACTTTTCAGAAAAATGTAAAAAAAATAAATTTTACAATATTCTTCTCAGGAATACCTTCCAGTACATCCATTTCCTGCATCTACCAAGTATTTCAGACCATTCGCCATGCAGCGATGAAATTTCAACAATAAACCTTATGGTGCAATTGATTACGCGAGGAATGATGATACCCACAAAATCCTTCCACCTGGTGTAACGTCTTTATCCATATACAACAAATGTGTAACAATACAGAGTGTAAACAATAATCAAATGAGTATTTTCTAATTAGGAAAATAAGGAAAACTGTAGGCAGTTTAAATTGAGTAAAACTCCCTCTTGAATAGCTTCCACGACACAACTCTTTCAGATTAAATCAAATTCCTAAATTATTGATCTCTTTAGCTTCCGTTGATTTTTCTTATTTCATATATTGTTTCTCTTCAGTGAGAATCCCTAAAGTCATCTCTCTTCTCTCTTTCTCCCATGATCAATACCTCCAACACTGTCGCCATCGCCCGCCGCTACCGCCAATTTCTCCTCCTCCTCCTCCACGACAGTGTTGTTTCCATCGGTTCCTTTCTTACACCGCTGATGGCTTCACACCACACAAATCCATTCGAATCACTTCACAAATCCGGGCTTGATCAAATTCCTATCAAATCCGGAGAAAACTTTCTAATCATCATCAATTGTTTTCGCCAAGAAGGGGAGATCGAATCCCTGGTCAAATCCGTTTACCAATCTATTTATTTCGTATGAAGTAAACTTTTTGGGACTGAAAATTGTTGAGAGATTTTATGCTGAATTGGTCTTTTTGGGATTCAATCTTCCGAATCTAATGAAGAAGCTTCAATTGCAGCGGGAGCAATGGAGGAAAAATCCGCCGCTATCGTTCTCACTGTCTTTAGACCTGAAGGTTAATTTTCTAATTTTTCCCCCTTTAAAACCAATATCTACAAGCAACATGATTACGAAAATAAGTTTTTTTTAAAAAAACAATTTCGGTATAGAGTATCAATTTAAAACAGTGAATTATGGGTAATGATTAGGAATTACATCATGAGTTTGCAAAGGAAGAAAGTTCGTCCTGCTTATCACCTCATCCTATCTGTAAGTCATTTTTTTTCCTTCCTCCTAATTTCGTTCAGTTTGGTTTTATTTCCTGCATATTGATTGGTCTTTTCTTGCATACTTTTTACTGCCCGTGCTTTTATAGCTTTTTTGGTGACCTTATCAAAATGGTCAATTTTGACGGTGTTTTCTTTTCTAGGATGCTCAAATTATGTGAAAGTTAGATGTGTTGGGAATTTTTGTGGTGTTATTAGCTTTTTGATTTACTGTTATTGCATAAGAATTGTTGAAGCTTTAAACTCTTAACAGGATTTATGTGTTTGGTCATCTCTTTTTTATATAAAACCAGGTGAATCTAGTCGCTATTGGATCAAAAGCTGAACTTACAGGGAACAGGGCTGTGAACAAGGGTTTGATATACTTCACCTTATTATATCATAATTCTTATTGAGCTCCGAATGAATGCAAATGGACAAGGTAACCTTCATTTTCCCTTTTTAAAAGTTAAATCAATACATTGAAATGGATAAACAAGGTGAGTATAATACAAATATACATTGTGCTATTTTGATTGAATGCTCAAAATTATGGTTTGAAACAACGAGATGAACAACTTTCTTTTGTTTCACAGTATATGAAGAGATACACAATCGATAAGTAATGCGGTTTAGACAGTTAACTGCAGTGGCGTGAGAAAAATATGGTACTTTTGGTGTACTTTTGATTTTTGTGCGTTATTTTATTCAACAGCATTGAATCAGTTGCGTGGGTGAAATTTCTCCAAATACTTTAGCCATTTAAATTCAAAGTCATTTTTTAAGATTTAACCGCAAGATACCATTGATCTTGACAACAGCTAAATTGAAGAGTTTCATGCTTGCAACTTTTGATTTTAAGAATATACATTATAGATTCTTAATCTTAACTCATATAACTGCACCATCAAGAAACATGATTATATCAATCAATATTTTCGACTTTTGCTTTTTTCCTGTCTGATGTGTGTTTCATTTTGCAGTTCACACGGTACATTACATGCATGCATCCTTTTCAAGTGAGTTGAAGATCATGGTTCGAGTAGGGATTCAGGACTTCTACTGTAAACCAAATTTTGTAATGCCTATTTTGAATAAAGGAGTTTTGGATAGGTCAAATGACTTATAACACTTATGTTTATCATATACACATAATATATTCCTTAGACTATCCTAATTGTAAAGTCATTTTTATTACATATTTTTCCTTAGTATTTTGCATCGAAGGATGCAGTTATTGGGAGAGGTTTATTGGAGTCGGATGTTTTAAGCTCTAGCATGGTTCTTCTTAAACAAATTCTCAGGTGAAACTCAATAGATTATACCTTTTTACGCACTATCAATCTCCCTAATTTTCAAAAAAAATAAAAATAAAAATAGAGTAATACGATCTCTAAATGCACATACGTTTTTACTTTTTTATTATCACTATTTAGTCATGATAAAGTATATGTTTTTTTTTTTTCCCTTTTTGGTGTTATAGTATAGTACATGTTTTTGTTACATATCGATTTGTTAAGTGGGGCTGTCCGGGCCAAGTATCTAGTTTACATACTATTATCCCAAAAATGCAAATGCAAAAAAATTCAATCACAGTAATTTTGACACGTGTCAGTATGTGCGCATTAGTTTGGGGGTGGAGGACACCTGTAGAAATTGCCTTAATTTAATTTTGTTACGAGATTGCCAAAAATAATTAAGTACTAATCCAATATTTATGCTAGTTATCGTGATGGGGAATGATATTCCGGAGAGTTGTTGGCTCGTTTAGGTTTCAACTTATCATCAAGTCAAACAACCGACCTACGTTCGACATGTCGGGTCAAACATCAATCCAAATCGAATTCGGAGTTTGGTAATAATATCAATAGGGTTACCTTCTGAATAAGGTTTCCACAGAGAGGTTATATATATATATATATATATATATATATATATATATATATATATATATATATATATATAACAACAACACAGCGGTTCGACAATTTCACTTGGAAAACCGTAATTTTATAGTATATCGCATCCATCTGCGCGCAGGCCTAGAGAATGGTGGAATCGAAGAGTGGTGATCCTTGGTTAGTGTATCTTCATGGAAGGCATCAAACCTTTTGTAAGATTTCATCTCCCGGAGTAATCTCCAAGAGTATTCCCCAATTCCGTTACACCACAATTTTGTATTCATCCCCCGACGGAAAATGGCTAGTTTTGGTCGAGGACGACAACAGAGCGGTCTATCGTTTTTTCCCAAGAGAAAAGAGGATCAAGGAAAGATTCTTTCTGTGGAGTCCTTCCACTGGGGAGTCAATTACGCTACCCACTCCGAGACCAAGTCGGCAGCGTTGTATTATTACTCAAGCCCTACTTCTGATGTCCTCCGATTCCACCACCGGCACCACCTCCCCAGATTTGGTACTTTTGTTTGTCTCTGATATGCCTTTGGTCTTGTATTGTCACGTTGATTATGACTGGGAATGGAGCGAATTCAACTACGCTCGATGCATTGAATCCCAAACAAGGCCGACGCCTCTTCCGCAAGGTTATTCCCTCTGCAGTCCTGTCAGCTTCAATGGTAAAATCTACGCCACCGCCACTTCTTGCCCTTCCGATTTGGTGCGGATTGACATTGATGGCAACAGTAATTGTGAAATGCATTTGTTAATGCCAGAAGAAGATCGATCTGCCCACCTCCAAAACCGATCCTCTGGCTTTACCAGCTCTTCACTATCAGGTTACTCTACTAGTTACCTGGTGGCATTAGGAGGGGATCAAGACCTTTGTCTAATCTCAATGCTCCCTTGTTCTTTCAGTAGGTATCAGGAATCCCTATCCATATCAATTTCCACATTCAATTTCTCTATAAATTCTTGGGAACCGAGGACAGGTTTGAACGGAGGGGCGGTTTTTTTGTGTGATTCATACTCCCTTTGTAGCAGCCCACCAGGAGACAACAACGAGTGGAGTTACATATACTTCACCTTTGATCAAACCATGTTATGCTACAGGGTCGAGGATGAGAGAGTAACATCGCATTCACTCTGCCCTCCCATGCTACAAGAAGGATCATGGGTCTCCAAGCGTTGGATTTTGCCTAATGATGCCTATATTCATGGTCTTCATCGCGAAGTACTAATTAGTGGCATGGTGGATAATTCAGGATATCAAAAACGAAAGATCGTAGCAAAGAGGACTAGTAAGAAGAGGCTGAGGATATCCAAGATGGAGAATGATGCAGAATGTGTTCCATACTCCTCATTATTGTGCGACCTATCGTCTGAGGTGCTTGGTTTGATTGCGAACAAACTATCTTTTGTTGATTACATTAATTTTCGTTGTGTCAATAAACTTTGCGCCTCCATGACCGTTCGAAGTAAGACGAACCCCTTCCCTCCCTGCTTGATTTACAAGGATAGGTTCAATGGTGTGTACAATCTAGTAGATTCCAACCTTAAACACAAACTCTCCGTCAAAGTTCCCGAGGCACTGAGAGAGTATAAGATTCGATGTTGTAGGGATGGTTGGCTGCTCCTGGAATACAAGTTGTTAGATTACGCTTTCTTTAACCCATTCACAATGCAAGTAATCCCGGCGGGATGTAAACCAGACACGAAGGACGGGTTTATAAACTTTACCTTCCTAAGCAAACCATCTTCTCCTGATTGTTCTATCTTGGCAATGTCTCGAGGGAGAGTTTGGGGAAGGTCGCGCTTTGTTAAACACCTTCCAGAACTAGGAGGAGGAGAAACAAAATGGTGGACATTTGTGGTGGGAAAAGGAGGAGCTGATGAGCCTCCATTTCTTAGCCATGGTTGCAATAGTCCAGTGGTCTCGCGAAATGCCTGTTACTATTTGGGGGACAGTGGGAGGCTTGGACTGGGCCGATTTATTGAAGAAGAGAAATCCTTATTCCGGTGGGAAGTCTTAGAGGACATTGAATTTCCTGTAAAAGATTTTGGATGTAGCTATTTAACAGAGTGTGGCGGACGACTTGTATCCATCCTTGTGGGTGACAAACATGGGAAAAGATCATGGGTCCGGGTTTTCAAGCTAAAAGAAGATGATATTGAGAGATGTTGGGAAGAAATTGATTCCTTGGATGGCTATTGTTTATATTTGAGCTACTCATCATCAATGTCTCGTCTTGCAGAAACACCAGATGTGGCTAACAGAATCTATTTCCCAAAGTTCTGCAAAGATGAGTTGGTTTATTATTCTTTGAATTCTAAGAGATATCATTCCATGGGGAGTCAACATGAATTGCAGAATTCACATAAGATCACAATGTATTGGGATTGTGCTTGGATTACACCACATCGGAGCTGATAATTTCCGGATATATACCAACGGATATATGTATGCTCAAGGCCCAGAGCTAAAGATGAATACGCTTGTGATGAGGGGGAAAAATAGATGAGGAGTTGTTTAAAACGCATTGTCAAAGTACAGGAATGAAGCTTGAGAGGGAAAGACGCATTGAAGAGTTTAGATATTAATCATCCTATATATGTCCGGATTATACTTTTTTTTTTCCTTGATTCATATAAATCTTTTTAAATGTTTTGCAAATGATACTAAAGTTTTTGGTGACTATGTAAAATTACTTGCTATTCATTATCTTGAGGTGAAATATACAGTGACTTTAATAGTAGCACTAGGATCAAATGGATTTTGGTTTGTGCTTGCACAATGTGCTCCAATATTTGTCTACTCTCTCTCTCTCTCTCTCTCTCATCCCTAAAAAAAAAAAAAACACAACAATTAGATGGCGGGAGAAAGATGAGTTCCTTTAGTCACGTATGTCCAACTTTTGTAATGTCAATATGCCATTATTAGGGATTAGGGAGAGATGCAGTTTGAATGGAAAGATTTTAGGAATTTTTTTTTTGGGGGGTTTAATCTAAAGTTTGCAAACCTTTTCAATGCATAAAGTTTAGGAATTAATGTTTCAAGCAAATTCGGACATCCTTTAGGGATTTGTTGATGGTTTTATTTTGTATGTTAAATTAAACATAAAGGATTGTGGGATTATTTTTGGTAAGGATTTTTTTTTGAATTGTATTCGATTGACGGAGAAAAATTTCAATTTCATTAATGTTGATTAGTCACGTAAATTAAATTTGATTTTCCTATTTTAAATACGGTTTTTCAAATTTCAAATTGATTCCTTTTATTATAAAACATTAATTTGGTGCATTAATTTAATCAATATTGGAATATTCTAGCTTGAACACTCTTATGCAGGGACTATTTTTGTAAATGTTGAAACTTTTTTAAAACCAATGTTTGAAAAATTCCCTAGAAATCTTTTTTTATGTCTCTCTCTGGTTTCTCTCTTAGTATAATGTACTATAGATAGATGTGTGAATGGATCTTATCGTAGTCTTATAATTTCTCCGTCTTATAATTTCTCCCACGTGTACATTGTAACTAAACATGTAATTGGATCATGATAAAAAAAAATATTGGAAAACTTTTATTTGACAATAAACTTATGAAGAACATCTCGCAATTCACAGGTAATTTGGTGATTATTCTTTACTTTTAATAAATAAAATATAATCACATCGGTACATTTTTGTGAACAATTCCATACCACCATAATCCAAAATTGATAGTGGTTATATATATAACAATATTCTGAATTAGTAGCAGTTCAAAGAAATAATTATTAGAAAAGATCTAAATAACATAGAGACCTCCATATCATAATATTGACAACTATACAAAAATAGTTAAATTATGGCAAATGAACACCGATCCAGGTTTGTTCTTCCAAATGATTCCATCAAACCTACTAATAGTGAGCAAAGATTTGAAATGTCGATTCATTTAGGGACCATAACTATTTTATACTAGGATTTCAATTTCATCCATCACAGAATAAGATTCTGGCCCATAAAATTTTACAAAATACTACCTCATATTTAGTAAGATGTCATAAGCCCAAATTAATTTAATTTGTATCACTTAATGCCTGGTCAACCCTTAAAAACAATTTATTTTTTGGACCATAACACTTGTATCCCCTAAACATTTTAGTGTATCCAACAAAATAATAACAAACTGAATCCATTTTATTTTATGTCAATCCATGAGATCATGTCTTAGCTAGATAACCTATAACATGCAAATGCCTAATGCTTGGTTTTTTTCACGTCCCTAATACATAAGGATCGTTGTTTTAGTTGGAACATTATTAAATATTGTTTTAAGTTGTTGTCCTTTATGTATTTTTTCTCATTGTGAGTTTAACTAAATAATGTGACTCGTGTTTTAGTTGGAACATTATTAAATATTGTTTTAAGTTGTTGTCCTTTATGTATTTTTCTCATTGTGAGTTTAACTAAATAATGTGACTCGTCATAGTATTTAGTCTATTCTTTAGTTTCGAAATTTGTTTTATAATAATGTCAGTAATGGTAATATTCTCTAACACATACTTACTTAGGAATTTGACCAATGACCATAGACACAGTTCACCAAAGCCATCATATCTACTAAACTATTTGTCACAATGGTAAAATGTGATGACCTTAATTCTTTTCCAAAGTTGATCTTCAACTTAACCTAAAAATTTTGAATATGTACAGTGTCTAAAAATCTCACAATTTAAGGAAGGGTAGCCATAGCATAAACATTGTCTATGTACATAACATGATTTGTTTAATCATTTCAATAAGCCATACAATATGATGCACATATATCCTTTTTTTTTTTTTTTTATCAAAATAGGCGAAGCCTAGCGGGTGCAAGACCCATTTTATTTATCTGATATTAAGGGGGGAAAAAAAAAGAAAGAAAGCAGCAGTGCTTAAAACTTACCACATTTTACAATACAATTAAAAAAATTCTGAAAAAAATAATAGATTCAAAGATCTATATCTGACAAAAGGTACTTTTTTTTCTGAGCGCCACACTCTCGGATCCGCCTTAGCACTTGGCCTTTTCCGTTGCTTACGAGCCGAGATATATCTATTTGTATTAGTTCTAAGTCCTCTGCAGACTTTTGCCATCTAATCGCTCTCTGTTTGCTTGTTTTTACATAGACCACTCAACTGAGATTCGAAAATCTGACGAGTTAAGTGGATTGAAAATTTTGTATGATTTAATTCTTTGTTTAAAGCATATGCCCTAAACTATTATCCCAGACTAATATGAAATTCTCATTTTACCAAAAAAATTTTGGTACCATATAAATTAACATGCAAGACTTGATTATATGAGACAATGGTCCGAAGTAAATAAAGGTTACTATAATCTAATTACAAAATTATAAAAATTACCTTTATTTGAATTTTGAAATAGACAAACTAACCAAATTTTGCTCAATATGGAAACATAAATTGTGTCCCGACTAAAAGGTGAAACAATAAAAGTTTCTTCCAGTTACAACTAAAATCCATGTTTCTAATGATAAGCTTGTATAGGTACCAAGTCAATTTTTCTTAAATCAAACAAACAAACAAAAAATGATCATATAAGTTTCAAAATCCAAACAAAGAAATACCATAACAAAACTAGCAACGAAATTGAATTTCCTAATTTGGTTTTTTTTTTCCGTAATACTGTATAATGCAACTTAAATGTTCTTCTTTTCATAATTCTTTATTTCCTAAGATGCTAGACATAAAGGAGCACTTACAATCATCTCTTAATTCAATCTCTCTTCTTATAAAAACAAGGCACATAAAAATAAAGTTACTCATTTCCACCTTATTACTTTTGACAAACGCTTTATTTCAGGAATAAATTTTGCATTATTTTACGGCGCCCCTAAAAGTTTCTAAAATTGTATGTTTTAAGATTGTAAGATTGTCCTACTCTATACTTCTCATTTCCTTTGAGAAAATATTATCTAAAGTAGTAAGAATAGTCAATCAAATTAGCAATATCCAGATCCACCCAACCAAGAACTAACAAAATAATTTCCTTTTAATTAGTTCTTAAAAATTACACTTTAAAGTGACTTAATGTAATTAACTGCAAAAAAAAACTATAATAGAAGTGGGATCAACTATAACCAGGAAATTATTCAATACAAACTCACATTTAAAACTGAATTTAACACTATTAATAAATTCAAATTGACATTCCTCATTTACAAGATACCTAGTGCAAAATCAAATATAATCTTTGGACAGAAATATCAATTTCAAAATGGTACTAGTCACTTAATATTCATATATTAGGAATTCCATCATGTACCTTTTCTTTAGACCGAGTTTCAAGAAGAACCTAACAATTGTCACATATTTATTATCGCAACTATATTTTGCTTTCGGTTAAATAAACCTTCCTTTGGGCTGATCCTAATCCGCATGAAGTTGTAACACACATGAGCTGTCATCTTGGTGTTTCAAAGAAATCAATCAACACTTTAGTGACATATTGTATCAATTTTAAAATGGTCATTACACTAACAAAAAATGTTTCAAATTGAAATTTAAAATGTAAATCATAAATTTGTTTGGATGATGTTTTTTTTTACATTGGGTTTTGTGTTTAAGAAGTAAAATGAGTGAAAATGTAAACAAAATTGATGTCCAAACAATCTTTTAAGTAACCTCAATCTTTGCAGTCGACATTTTGAATTTAAAAATTATTCTAAAGAATATTAAAAAATTAATACTAGTAGCAAGCATGAGGCCAATCATTTTTTTCCCAATCCAAGTCAAAAGGAATCCATTTCGTCACAAGTATATCCTCCAAATCAATTGGAATCATTTCATCAATGCTCCACAACATATTCTCTTCTCGGTCGGGGTACATTCCCTTCCTTATGACATCATTTGTCTCTTTCCTCCTCAAAAAGATTTCTCCTTTTTTTTTCATTTTTAAACTACTTCTCTTGCAATAAATTATTATGGCTACCAATAAATTAAATTTTCCTTCCAATTCTTTTAAAATTGTTCTAGCAGTAACAAAAAGCAGACAAAATACACATTTCCCGACATATATTCACCATACATTATCATCGATCGACCATTCCTGGTTGGAGTTGGAGATGGATTCAGTGACTGATTTTGCACTCTGCTCCTCCTTATCCAACTTGTACTAGCTATTTCAGGATTGAGCAAAATTAAATTTGCTGACATCCCATCCCAAAATTATTCTTCTTCAATCTTCTCTTTCTCATTTCTGCCTTTCCTTTTCAGCTTCCAATAAGGACTACTACGTTTGAGGTACGTTAAACTAGTTTCTTGCTATTACGGATTCATCGTTTTCAGCAAACCTTAAAACGCCACTTTTTATGGTAAAAATCTTATCTTTATAGTTTTTTGCCTTTCTGGGTCGTGTTGTTTTTTTCCAGTCAAATTTATTCGAAGCTTGTTTTGACTTGTTTGGAAAAGATTGTTTCCTTACTACTTTGTTCTTTGCTGCTTCTCGCTTTATCTAATCCGTTTAAAGTCCTCTTCTCCATGGCCAAGTGGAACTTGTATGGTTCAGTTTTAGAATTTAGTATAATCTTTTATGAGTGATTAATGTTTTCTTTTTGGTCTTGCTAGCTTAACTTCGTTGAAAATCCGACAAAGATTCTGAATTTAATGATTTCTTTAATGGGGTCTGTCACTTTTGTAGCACGTATAAAATATTTGAAACAGAGTAATTATTAATCCTAAAATATGCTCTGTCATAGTAGACTTATGGTTTGTCATTTGATTCTTGAACCTTCTATTTTGACAGGTTTTCATTCATAAGGTAATTATTACAGAAAAGGTAATTGTTCTGAAGGAAGAATGGTTGACTTTGATATGGAGATTGCTGGGCCTGAGTCTTTCCTCAAGAACAGGAGGTTTGGGAGCTACTTTGATGCCAGTTCTGAGTTGAACTTGAACCCACCATCAGAAGTAGCTGTCAGGGAAGAAAAGTTGGAAGAAATGAAAAAAGCTGATGCTTTTGTAGATGATGATGGAATAGTTGCTGTATTGGTTTCTTGGATTAGGATTGTGGTTTGCTTTGTGTCAATGATGTTCACCACATTCATATGGGCCTTGATCATGCTGGTGCTTCTCCCTTGGCCTTACCAGAGGATTAGGCAGGGCAATATCTATGGCCATGTAACTGGCAAAATGTTGGTAAGATACATTGTTTTTCAGTCGAGTCATTTCTGAAAGTTTGGTGAGTTTTGGTTGAGTTAATTAGTTGGGATACTCTGTCATCTTGGACAGTACTTTTGATTTCCTTGCCGACAACTTATGTATTTATCCGGTTCCACCTTTATTAATCTCTGACTCACTCTTTGTATGGTGCTCCAACTTATTCTGTTCTCAGAATGGAAGAGCAATCTGCAATTTTCCAACTTTTTTACTGTAACTTCAAAATGATGTGGTTATAGTTTTGTTTTAGGACTCACATTTTCAATATTCCCAAAGAACTTTCCTCCCCTGCTGCTCCATGTCAGTTGATCATTTCTGTTATATAGATAAGCTATAACGTTTTGATTCTGCATCAAAGCTATAATAAATATGGATTCATACACCATGTGTACACTTGACTATGAGCAACCTGCGAAATCCGGGACAGGGTTGCCTTCTGCTGATAATTTATGTGTTCCTTTGGAGTGTGGTTTAGATTCTACGAAATTTTAGATTACAAAAAAGTTTAGACTGTTCATTGCAGATGTGGATCTTGGGGAATCCCATGAAGATTGAAGGCAGTGAATATTCTGATGAAAGGGCAATATATATCAGTAATCATGCTTCTCCTATTGACATTTTCCTTATCATGTGGCTGACACCAACTGGCACAGTTGGAATAGCCAAGAAAGAGGTACACAGTCACTTCTGACTCTACTGAACCATAGTTGAGGTCATATTAAGCTTTAATTATGACGAATGAATTTCATCTGGAAGTTTAGATATTGTCCAGAAAAAAGTTGTACGTGAACTTCAAAAGAACAAATTCTTAAGCTCGGAAACATTCATCTGGTTTGATAAATGTTTGCGGTCGTAAGCAAGGCAATATAATCAATCTTCCTTCTGATATAAAACTTGCCTAAAAAGCTTAGTGCGAGTGGATGTTAGTTTCTGATGAGTACATTCCCCTGAATTTTATGAGGGAGCCCATGAAGAGTTTCTTAGCTGCTGTCTTTGAAAATGATGATTTATATGCAGATCATATTCTACCCTCTTTTTGGACAACTGTATGTTTTGGCAAACCATCTTCGGATCGATCGCTCCAATCCAAGGGCAGCCATTGAGTCCATGAAGAAGGTTGCTACTTTTGTGTCCTAAGTGCTCTCTCCAGTTCTTTCTCATTCCAAATTCTGACTTAAGATTATGTGGTGCAGGCAGCTCAAGCAGTAATCAGAAATAACTTGTCTTTAATTATATTCCCGGAAGGAACAAGGTCTAAAGATGGGCGTCTACTGCCATTCAAAAAGGCAAGACTCATATTTTGCTAAATTGACAATTTCAACTTCATTCATAGTTTTTACGAAAGATGTGATCAAGATGATTAATAGTGTGAACCGCTTTATTTCAAGGCAAGCCCTGATAATGCTGAATCTTTTCCCCCCGAGAATGTCAAGCATTAACAACAATGCCAAGGACTTATAATTAAGCTTTCATCGCACTATGTGGATTGGCTTCATCGAATCATGTGTTGCCATCTTTGCTCTAGAGTAATAGATACTAATATCCACATATTGTGCAGTAATGTAGTTGGAGTTTAGATTATGTGTATGATAATGCAGAAAATTCTTTAGCAAATCTTCATCCTACTGCTTAGCAACTGGATATGAATTGAATGTCTTGTGTTTGCAGGGTTTTATACATCTGGCCTTGCAAACAGGCCGGCCGATTGTTCCAATCATCCTAACGGGGACTCATCGGGCATGGAGGAAGGGTAGCTTACACGTTAGGCCGACGCCTATAAATGTGAAGTATCTTCCCCCGATCAGAACAGATAACTGGACAGCAGACAAAGTGGAAGAATATGCTGAAATGATTCATGGTGTATATGTCAAACATCTCCCAGAATCTCAAAGACCCTTGTTGTAACATCACTGGAAATATAATCATATCCTTAGACAGCTTCTTGCCTTGTAATTTGTAGCTCTTAAATGAATCACACATGCTCTTTAGACTTCAATATAATAATAATAATAATAGTAATGGTACAGAGTTGTACTCACATTTTTCTTTCATCCAATGGAAAACTTACTATAAGCTGCGCATATGTAAGCCAAAAATAAAAAGAAAATAAGACCAACATACTGCATAGTTGCATCCCTCTTGGGCTCTTCCTGTGACCAAATTTGTTGTTCTCTTTACAGTGAAGAGTTCCGCTTGTAAATCATCCGCCCCAAATTCCATTAACTCCTGATGATTACTTAATGATTTGCACCAAATACTTGTCAATTGTCATATTAACAACTTAAGCTCGATTTGTGACCAAGTCAAATGACCTTCCAGAAAGACAAATATATACTAAGTTGTGTGTCTTGTATTAATTCACTGAATCTGCCACCTGAAAAAGTAATCATGCATTACTCTGGGTTTACAGAGATGGAATCAACCTACTATATATCATCAATTTTGAGAACAAGGAACCCAAAAAATAACATGAATTTCAACTAAACGTAACTCTGGTTTCTGAAATGACGTGCCCATTCATTGCATGCTCCTTTTTACAACTCTAAACCAAAAGAATGAAATGCCTATGCAAAAGAATCCAGCATATTATCACTTACATCTAAAAAACCATAAGAAATTTTCGGCATAGCCAGATATTCAAACACCCAAATTGTGAAACTAGTTATGAAAGGGATGAAGGTAAGAAGAAGTAAGATTTTTAGTAATCATCTGAATCGTCAGTTTCATCAGCAACGTAGTCTTCATCCGATGAACGATCAATGCCGGAGTAGCCTGAACTTCCCTGAATTTCTTCCTCATCTTCTCCGTTGTCCTGGCCCTGTTCTTGGTTTTCGATTTCAGGCAATGGCATGTCTTGCTCAGCTTCAATCCAAGGCATTTCTTCTTCTCCATCTGAATCATCATCAGTGTCATCCGCAACATGATCTTCATCCGAGGAATGATCAACGCCGGTGTCGCCCGAACTTCCCAGAATTTCTTCCCCATCTCCTTCGTTGTCCTGGCCCTGTTCTTGGTTTCCAATTTCCGGTAATGGCATGTCTTGCTCACCCTCAATCCAAGGCATTTCTTCTTCTCCATCTGAATCATCATCAGTTTCATCGGCAATGTAGTCTTCATCCTCAGAACGATCAATGCCGGAGTTGCCCGAACTTCCCGGAATTTCTTGTCCCTCGTCTTCGTTCTCATGTTGGTTTTCTGCCACGTCGTGCCCGACATCAATCTCCGGCATGTCTTGCTCACCCCCAATCCCAGCCATCTCCTCATTATCGGAATTCTCTAATTCTTGACCTTCATTTCCAGGGTTCTGTTCTTCCGACCCACTCCCATCTGTATCATTAGCTTCCAGATACTCTTCATCATCATCCGGTTCATGTACTCCAGCTGAATTATCTGGGACGTCATCTTCATCGTCACTTTCTTGCATTTCTTGATCTTCCGGCTGCACTTCTTCACCCTCAATTCCTTGATTTTCCGGCGCCGGATTGTTTTCTTGATTGGTTTTGCGAAGTTTGGGTTCCGGGTGAGGTTGATTCGGCCGTGGGTGCGCTGGTGCTGTAAGATCTACGTGGACTTTATACACAAATATATATAATTGTATGTTATAAGCTATCATAAAATACTAGCTCACAGAAAGTGATCTAATTAAATCAACTAAAGTTTGGGCTAATTATAATAATTAAGTTATAAGGTGCGGCCCAGTATTGTGTAGAAACCCTAAGGCCCAGTTTCCTGTTCTGTGATGGGTGGAACCGGAAACCCTATTATATACTGGTTGTGGTCCCCAGATGAGCCGTCATGCCAAAATCTCGACTCCCCATTTGTCAGAGGTTCCCCCAAAGGCTTGACGGAATCATCTGGAAGGCCAAATCGGATTGATGTTCTTGCCACTTCAGATTAAGGTACGTTTCCGCTTTCGTATAATTTTCAATAATTTGATGTGAAGGTCTCTACGGTATATGGATTTAATCCAACAAGTGGTATCAGAGCACCCTTCATGTCAATTATTTGAGAAATTTGGTTCAAGTTTTGTGTTTGAAATTCGGTCATGATAACCCAATTGAGAAGCCGACTCTGGTATATGGTATTTCAATTCCGTGCAATTTCGATTGGATTGTTGTGTCTTCCGGTTATCAAGATTTTTTTGTTTCTCAAATTTTTTGTTAATTTTTGTGTTCAACTCAATTCGGATAACCCAATCAAGGCCTTTTTTTTTTGTTTTTTTGTTTTCGGTGACTTTGTCATCATTTTTGGTTCGGTGCTAAAGGTTTTACGTTAATAAGGTTGAAAACAAAAGCTCTGCTTGTTTGTTTGAAGAGTAAATTTTTAGCGAAATCAAAAGCTCTCCAGATTTGCTTTTAAATCTTCGGTTTTGAAGTTTTCTGGTTTGTTTACTTAGTTTTTATTATTATTTTTTAAAAAGAATAAAATTCATATTTGATGTAAATCTAAACCAAACCCTTAGGTTATGAGTTTAAATTGGTGTCGGTTCGAATTTGTTGAAGCTGCTCAGGTTTTCTTTTTCGGTTTTCGATAGCCAATTTTGGTTTGCTATTTATTTGGTTAACTTGTGGGTTTCAAATTTGGCAACATCGAGATTTGATCAAGTGTTTTCAGCTTTGGTGATTACACCTTCAAGATTTTATTTTGTCTCGACACAATATTGATCAGGTTTTAAAGATTCAAGTTATTTTATTAAAGTTTTGACATTCGTTCGTTTTGGGTGATAATTTTGGTTAAATTTTATTTTATGGTACTTATGTTGGCGCAATATGGACTAGATTATTACGTCTTCTATTTCGGTGATAAAAAAAAAAAAATCTTTGTTTATGATCAAAGTTTTTTGATTGACTAATAAACTGCTAAGATACTTTCAAAGCTAATAAAAAGAATTTGTCCTTATGCTTTTCGGTTACGTGAAATATTGATTCATGATTTAAGGCTTTAAGTTTCTTGTAATTATTTGCTGCATTTCGTCTTTGGTGTTACAGTATACAACTCTACTGTGCCACTGACATTCTTGTACCACCACAAATGTAAATAGTGGGAGTGGGAAAGGATTGGTTTATCCAATTACTAAGTAAAAAAAAAAATATTGTTTGCTGCCCTTCAGGATTTTTTCTTTTGGTATTGTTTTTGGCATTTTCAAGTCTCATAATTGTAGTAGTTAATATACAGTAATTGTATATACATGAATCAATGAAGTTTCCTAGCAACATTTGATTTTCCTAAATAACATGTAACAATGATTGATGATTTTGGTTAGTTGTTCTTCTTGTTATTTATTGCGTACGTTAGGAATTTGGATTAAGGTTTTGCCCTAAATTTTTGGACTACAGATATAATGTGATATAGATTTAAATTTGGTATAAAAAAAATCTATCTTCAGATGTCCAAGATTTTTAAATTGATTGGTTGATACAATACGTCGCCAAAGTAACCTCTTTTGTATTGATCAATTAATTTAAAATACCAAGATGACAGTTGCGTGTGTTTTGATTTCATGCGGGTAATGATCAGCCCAAAGGAAGTTCACTATTTGGCCGAAATCAAAATATACTTGTGGTAATAAATATGTGATAATTATTATGATTTTTCCATGTGAATAATAAGTCGGTCCAAAGAAAGACTTATTATTTGACAGGAATGAATTGTCAATGTTTGATTACTACACCAAGAGTACCACTTGCAAATTGATGTTTCTGTCCAAAGACTAAACTCAATGTTGCACTAGGTATCTTGTAAATGGGAATTCCAATTTGAATTTATTAATCATGTTATATTAAGTTTAGAATGTGAGCTTGTATTTGGTCATTTTAAGATTGATTCCACTATAATTGTAATATCTGCTTCAAATAACTCTATTAGGATTTAATAACTATATGGAAACATATAATTCGGAAACATTAAGGAGCACTATAAAATAATGAAAAAATTATTCCTACTGGCAGGAACGAGTATTATTTCAAAAAGATCTTGTTTCCATTAGGCATAGGGAAAACGGGAACATAAGAAAATGCATTACCTCAAAGTATCATCTCAAATTAAGACTGAAGGCACTAAAGTTAAAGTTGTCTTATGACTTGCTCGTGCACTAAGAATGGATCTCTCTTGTACAAAATACGGTTAAGTCAAAAAATAGTTTTACTGGTTTCATTTTGTATATATAAAGAGAGATTAAATTTAGAGATGATTATAGGTGCTCACTTATATTTAAAATTTAGGAAAATAAAGAAATGAGAAAAGAAGGACAATTAAGTTGCAGTATACTGTATCACAAAAGAAGCAAATTTAGGAATTAAATTTGGTTGCTAATTTTGTGATAGTACTTCTCTGTTTGACTTTAAGAATATTTATTTGAAGGTTCTTTTGATTTTGGTACCTATAGATATACTTAGTGAGTAGACTCCGGTATCACTACTCGTATAAGTGTATCTATTATCTTAGGTTGGTAATCACCAAAAGCAAATTGATGTTAAAAGACACATCTATATGGTGCATAGGTTAGACAATTACAGTTGAGGCAGTAAAATTTTTAGGTTATCATTAAAAGACTGAAATTTATTTGGTTTTGAAAGAGTTCTTTGTTGTTCCATATTTAGACGGAATTTCATTTATGTTTCCATATTGAACAAAATACGACTACTTTTATTTTTTTGGTGACAGTTTGTTTGCCTCTTTCAAAATTCAAAGAAAGTCAATTCAGTTCTTTATTAAGTCATGGTAACCTTTATTTACTTAAAACCATTGCTTCAATTAACCAAACATTACATGATAATTTATGTGGTACTAAAAGAAAATTTGGTAATGAAAATTTCGTATCAATTTGGTAAAACTATTTTAGGCACTTGCGTTAGACAAATAATAAAGTTAGTCGAAATTCCACTTGACTTATAAGATTTCAAAATTTGAGTTAAGTGCAGTAAGCAAAACAAACAAATAAAATAAGATTGGGTGGCATAAGATTTTCAGATGTTGTTAGAACTAATACATACGGATATATGTAAACTATTCTTTACGGTCTTCTCTTAGAATGGTCAAGCATATTGTATTATGTTCCCAAACAACTTCCCAAGGCTACCTCTTTACCATTACTAAGAAGTACTAAGGTCTAAACTTGTTCAAAGTTTTAAGACTAAATACATTTTATAAACTAATTAAGTATTAGGTGAACTATGTCTAGGATCTGGTCAAATTTCTTAGTGAATATGGTATGTCATATAGTATCACTATGCCGGAAAGTACTATTATGAAAAGACTGCAACTTAAAGATATGAACTGTTCCAACTAAAGCAACAAGCCTTGTGGATTATGGACATACAAATAAGCTAGATACAGGCATTTTCATATTTTCAGTTATCTGCTTAAGGCAAGGCCGCATAGGTTTACAGAAACGAAGCTGGATTCGGTTTGTTTTTTGTTGGATATACTAAAACATAATAAATTCTAACATCCAAAAGTAATCCTACTTTTAAACGGGAAATATCTATTTTCTTGAGAATATTGAGTTTGGAGGGGAAGATAAGGTTAATGACATTATCTTTAAAGGGAATATTTTTCTATTCATATGGAAATTTAAGATAGTGTTAAAACTTTCCCTCATCAAGACAATTGTAAAGGACATACTCAACAATCTCAAGTACGGATGCCATTAAGGGAATCCAAAAGAGAGAGAAGAAATACAGTTACGATTAATGCCATAAAATAAATAAATACAGTAATTGATAAAAATAACGTTTAGGTTCTTTTCTCATTACCCAAAGGTGAGGTAAAAAGATATAAGAGTTATTTTCTCAATAAAGAATTTAGTCATAAAGATGGCATTATCTTATAGAGACTCTTTAGTATTTTGGGAAGTCCAAATTTTTAGACATTTTATAATGGCATATATGGTAGATTTTATATTTAGGTTTCATTAGATGGATATTAAAAGATTGTTTCTTAATGGCGACATTTTGAGACAATTTATTTGGTGCAACCTGAAAACTTTGTTTGACGGTTTGCAAATTAAAGAATTCCATCTAAGGACTTAAAAAAAAGTTTCCTGTTAATAACTCAAATATTTTTAAGTTTTCATCTCATTTGGTTTTGAGGTGAATATTGTGATGATTATACACATCACAATTTCAGTGGGAGTTTATAGCACATAATTAAAGAATTATATTTAGATATTTAGTAGTAGCTATAAGTTTATGCGGAATCATTAAGACTTTAAAAATTACAAGCTCACATATCGGAGTTCAGTCAAGTTAGAGATCATTCAGTATCCCGGCTTCGATTCAGTTTAGTTGTCGATATTGTCACAAGGCCGCAAATACAATATGGTCTTAAAGACTACTTAAATTATAATGTGACAATAATGCAACAATTCAAGATACTCTAATAACAATGAACATTAAGTTCTTAATTGTTAGATTTAAGTTCAGA